TCAAACCTAGAAAATGACGAACTAGAAACACCCAACATAGAAACAAAACACATAGAATGAACACACCCTGGCTCAACATATAGAGTCCCAGAACCAGGGTGTGACAGCCGAATTCAACAGGTATAGACCTTACCGTGAAATGCTTACTTACAAGCCCTTAACCAACAATGCAGTTTTAAGAAAATAGATTTAAGAAAATATTTACTAAGTAAACTAAAGTAAAAAAATAAAAAAATAAAAAGTAACACTATAAAATAACAATAATGAGGCTATATACAGGGGGTACCGGTACCGAGTCAATGTGTGGGGGTACAGGTTAGTCGAGGTCATTTGTACATGTAGGTTGGGGTAGATAATAAACAGTGAGTAGCAGCAGTGTAAAAAAAAAAGGGTTATGGGGGGTGTCAATGCAAATAGTCCGGGTGGCCATTTGATTAATTGTTCAGCAGTCTTATGGCTTGGGGGTAGAAGCTGTCAAGGAGCCTTTTGGACCTAGACTTAGCGCTCCGGTACCACTTGCCGTGCGGTAGCAGAGAGAACAGTCTATGACTTGGGTGACTGGAGTCTTTGACAATTTTTTGGGCCTTCCTCTGACACCGCCGAGTATATAGGTCCTGGATGGCAGGAAGCTTGGCCCCAGTGATGTACTGGGCCGTACACACTACTCTCTGTAGTGCCTTACGGTCAGATGCCGAGCAGTTGCCATACCAGGCGGTAATGCATCCAGTCAGGATGCGCTCGATGGTGCAGCTGTAGAACTTTTTGAGCATCTGCGTACCCATGCCAAATCTATTCAGTATCCTGAGGGGGAAATGTATTGTCGTGCCCTCTTCACAACTTTCTTGGTGTGTTTGGACCATGACAGTTTGTTGGTGATGTGGACACCAAGGAACTTGAAACTCTTTACCTGCTCCACTACAGCCCCATCGATGTGAATGAGGGCGTGTTCGGCCCTCCTTTTCCTGTAGTCAACGATCATCTCCTTTGTCTTGCTCACGTTGATGGAGAGGTTGTTGTCCTGAAACCACACTGCCAGGTCTCTGACCTCCTCCCTATAGGCTGTCTCATCGTTGTCGGTGATCAGGTCTACCACCGTTGTGTCGTCAGCAAACTTAATGATGGTGTTAAAGTCGTGCTTGGCCACGCAGTCGTGGGTGAACAGGGAGTACAGGAGGGGACTAAGCACGCACCCCTGAGGGGCCCCCGTGTTGAGGATCAGCGTGGCAGATGTGTTGTTGCCAACCCTTACCACCTGGGGGCGGCCCGTCATGAAGTTCAGGATCCAGTTGTAGAGGGAGGTGTTTAGTCCCAGGGTCCTTAGCTTAGTGATGAACTTTGTGGGCACTATGGTGTTGAACGCTGAGCTGTAGTCAATGAACAGCATTCTCACATAGGTGTTCCTTTTGTCCAGGTGGGAAAGGTCAGTATGGAGTGCAATTGAGATTGCTTCATCTGCGGATCTGTTGGGGCGGTATGCAAATTGGAGTGGGTCTAGAGTTTCCGGGATGATGGTATGGATGTGAGCCATGACCAGCCTTTCAAAGCACTTCATGGCTACCGACGTGAGTGCTACGGGGCGGTGGTCATTTAGGCAGGTTACCTTCGCTTTCTTGGGCACAGGGACTATGGTTGTCTGCTTGAAACAGGTAGGTATTACAGATGGTCATGGAGAGGTTGAAAATGTCAGTGAAGACACTTCCCAGTTGGTCCGCGCATGCTCTGAGTACACGTCCTGGTAATCCATCTGGCCTCGCGGCCTTGTGAATGTTGACCTGTTTAAAGGTCTTGCTCACATCGGCTACAGAGAGCGTGATCACACAGTCGTCCGGAACAGCTGGTGCTCTCATGCATGCTTCAGTGTTGCTTGCCTCGAAGCGAGCATAAAAGGCATTTAGCCCGTCTGGTAGGCTCGCGTCACTGGGCAGCTCACGGCTGGGTTTCCCTTTGTAGTCCGTAATAGTTTGCAAGCCCTGCCACATCCGACGAATGTCAGAGCCGGTGTAGTAGGATTCAATCTTAGTTCTGTATTGACACTTTGCCTGTTTAATGGTTCGTCTGAGGGCATAGCGGGATTTCTTATAAGCGTCCGGATTAGTGTCCCGCTCCTTGAAAGCGACAGCTCTAGCCTTTAGCTCGGTGCGGATGTTGCCTGTAATCCATGGCTTCTGGTTGGGATATGTACGTATGGTCACGTCGTCGATATGACGTCGTCGATGCACTTATTGATGAAGCCGGTGACTGAGGTGGTATACTCCTCAATGCCATTGGATGAATACCGGAACATATTCCAGTCTGTGCTAGCAAAACAGTGCTGTAGCATAGCATCCGCGTCATCTGACCACTTCCATATTGAGCAAGTTACTGGTATTTTCTGCTTTAGTTTTTGCTTGTAAGCAGGAATCAGGAGGATAGAATTATGGTCAGATTTGCCAAATGGAGGGCGAGGGAGAGCTTTGTACGCGTCTCTGTGTGTGGGGTAAAGGTGGTCTATAGTTTTTTTTACTCTGGTTGCTGGTAGAAATGAGGTAAAACGGATGTAAGTTTGCCTGCATTAAAGTCCCCGGCCACTAGGAGCGCTGCTTCTGGATGAGCATTTTCTTGTTTGCTTATGGCCTTATACAGCTCGTTGAGTGCGGTCTTAGTGCCAGCGTCGGTTTGTGGTGATGTCCCGTTGGTAGGATAGTCTCTAACGGAGCTCATCCAGTTTATTCTCCAGTGATTGCACGTTGGCCAAGAGAACGGATGGTTGAGGCGAGTTACCCACTCGCCGACGAATTCTCACAAGGCACCCTGATCTTCGCCCCCGGTATCTCCTTCTTTTCTTCATGTGAATGACGGGGATTTGGGCCTTGTCCGGGAACAACATTATATCCTTCGCGTCAGACTCATAAAAAAAATCTTCATCCAGTTCGAGATGAGTAATCGCTGTTCTGATATCCAGAAGCTCTTTTCGGTAATAAGAGACGGTAGCATCAACATTATGTACAAAATAAGTTACAAACAATGCGAAAAAACACACAAAATAGCACAATTGGTTAGGAGGCCGTAAAATGGCAGCCATCCCCTCCTGCGCCATTTTCCAAATAATGTCACTCTCCAACTGCTTCACAACCATACCATTTGTCTTAGTAGAGAGTAACTAATCAAAAGAGAACCATCGCGCTCTCCCAGAAGCTTGGCTGGTGCGTAAAACCAGCGAATTCAGACAAACAAAAAATTGTTATAGGTTCACACTCAAAAAGATGTTGCATAAAGCTTACTTCATTATTCTATTTTTAAAATGATTTTCACTGGCTCAGGGATAGCGTACACAGACGTTTCGGCATAACAGCCTTCTTCTGTGTGTAGGTACAATTGTATTTAAATTCAAAACAGCATTTGTAAAGAACAACCGATGAGTATCAAGTGTTTCTAATTAGGGTTCCCACTCATCTGCCAATCAGGGATGTGGCTTTTCTGGTCTACCTGTATACAAATTAGTCACAAAGTAATACAGAATTATAGGGTATGGGAGCAGGCAACTCACGAATCAACCGCCCCAGGTGTCCACTCATCTGAATACAACATATCAATTCATGAGATAGCCTACCACAAAAGACATCAGGCACAGCCGTTCATAAATATGTGGGGCCAACTCATAAATGATATGCAAAATCTGATATGGACAGTGTTCTTGTAACCTATAACAGTCTACATTTGGCTTATAGGAAGGAGGTGAAATCTAATTCTTTGTTTAAACCGTGTGGAGATACAGAATTTAATGTATATATCCACATGGCTTCTCTTTGGAGTAATTTCTTGTCATAATCACCACCTCTACATGGTGGATGAACCTTTTTCAATCTCTTAGTAGAGAGTAAACAGAAAGTGGGTTTCATTTTTGTCACAGGGACAGATGGATGTGTTTTTTCTTCTTCAGCGTTTCTTCTAAAACCTTAAACCCCCACTGAGTGAAGAATGAGCACAAAAGGCAGACAGCAGAGGATACTAGGGAAAATAGAGAGGCAGCTGCTTCCTGTGTGAATTCACTTGTTCAGTAGAATCAAGCAGTGAGATCTGCAAGGTGCAATTCAGCAAACATTCCTGCGGCCGGGTAACCTTGAGATAAAAATCTGGTCAGAAGGAATGTAACAACAGACAACAAAAAATATGCTGGAAATATCTTTGAGCACCACCCTGCTTCCCCTCCCCCATTACTTTTCTCTGGTTAAAGAATTTCATGTGCTTCTTTTCTAAAGAAAATCTAATTAGGTAAGAAAGGGCAACCTTTGAATGTTATACTTTAAAGAAGTACATTTTAAATGTTTAAAGGGGCAATCTGCAGTTGCTACATCCATTTTTTGAATTAATTATATGGACCCATTGATTCTTGAAGAATATACTTATGCCTCATTAGCTTAGTTCAACTGTCTTACCACATTAGAATCCAAAATATAAGCTTGTTTTACTCCAATGTTTGTAAACAAAGTAAATGTAAACAAACACTATTTCGCCTCAAAATATGGTTAAAACTATAATTTTGATATCATGGATGGTCAGTCCTAGTCTTGGTCAGTCCTCTATGAATTTGAGAGTGATTACATTTCTCCAACTCCATCTCTCAGCTTGTTACCGAATTAGGGGCGGGAGAGTGCTTTGTTATTGCCCCTTTAAGTTATTTTATGTTTGTTTGGATTCTAATACAGTATCTTGAAATATTTCACTTTAAAACATGATGTAGTCTATAATTACGCAGTGACCTTGGGATAAGGCACTACTTGCACCATCATGGTAGGCCTATATAGTCAGAAATATTATTATAGTGGGACAAGTTTAATAAAAAGTTTGATTTTCAACAACATCAATCTCTCAAAATGTACAGGATATGCAATAATACATGTATATTTTTGGATCTCATTGAGACATCACAACTGAACTGTATGGAATATTTAGGACTTGACTATTTTACTTTTATTTGATGAAAGGGAAAAGGACATGCACTGACCATGATGACGTTATTAATGGCATCTTCAGTCCAGCCCTGGATGCTACAGTGCATTGTGGGTCTTTCCCAAGATGGCGGCGCCCTTGCTGAAGTGCAGAAGAAGTGTCTCTGGAGAAATTGTTGGAATTGTTTGATAATTTCACGGCAACTAGCTTACAAAATTTGCCACGACAACACACGGTTGTGTCAGCAGTCCATACGAGAAGCGTCATTGACAGCTCGAGCCTGACAGCGCGTGGCGTGGTTGTGGCAGAGTGTCCGTGTGAAGATGGGCCTCGTCTCGAGCCCCTTCCCATAGCAAAGAGCAGCCGTGGGGAGAGAAACCGCAGATTTCCCTGCAAACACATACCGGTCGAACTTGGACCTGTCGGGTTCGACATTGTTTACAAATTGTGGACGCTACCGTACAATTTTCTTTCAAGAATTGTCTGTGCGACCGCGTCTATAATAGTCAGGAGACGGAGAGGTTTCCAAGCCCGTATCGAAGAGGATTCTACCGCGCCAAGGTCTGTACGCTGCACGCCACCCTGTGAAAAGTGCAATTTCTGCACATCTGCTTCACTTGCCAGTCAGTCTTTTCTAAAACATGTATCTAACTACTGTAACTTTAAATTCCACAAGTAACATGAAGCATGCACAGTTTTACAAACATGAAGTACAAATCTGTGATAACAATACTAGCTAGTTGTCAGCAAATGGGCTAGGGTCTGCTAGCTAGTTAGCCACAAGCTAACCTGTCAAACTCGACTCCGAACTCTAGAACAGCCACGCGCGAACATTGTTCAATCACTGCAGGTTGATAACGTTATGCCGATTTCCAATTCTATTAAGTATCATTCTGCAATATTTGCTATCTCCTTAGAAAATATAATTTCCATGTAAGTTAGCTAGTCCATTCCGCATATTATCTACCATTTGACTGCTAAGTTAATTTAAAGGGAATCACTGGTGAGACGTCATTGTCAGACGTTGACCTTTTTACACAGCTAATGTTAACCGTGTCAAATGCAAATACTGGTAGCTACTAGTTATGTATGTATTAGAACGAGAATATGCTGACTACAGCACATGAAGACAAACGAGTCTTGCATAGTGGTACTTTGTTTTGGAACTAAAGCTGTTGAGTTCCTATCCCATCACTCACCAGGGACACCTGTTGTGAATGGGGTTAGGGATGTGAGGTTGCTACTGTTATTGTCCATGCCATTTATGGGTGGTGGTTAGCTTTGGGACACAACATTGGGAGTCTGTGTATTAGTTGCACTCCCTGAGTTGTGCATAGTTCTGGTGGCTGGCAACAGAAAATAACCCTACCACAATATAGCCAGCTTCACCCAAAAAACGTTTCCTGTTATCAAAGGCATATGTATAATCTCAAAACTGTACTTAACAGTTTCGAGATGATCTAACATCGGAAGTCTGTATTGCTTGGACACCATGAGTTGTGAATTGTTCTGGTGGCGACGTTAGATAACCCTACCACAATTTAGCTGGCCACACTAAAAAAGTGTTTCCTGTCAACAAAGGCATTTGTATAATCTCTAGGAACTTTACTTACCAGACGTAAAGTTAAATGTGTCCCTCGCTATCAAATAAACGTCGGAATCCAACTTTTGTCTGAACAGCACCATATTCCTGTTGAGTTAGACAGCGGGCAGCCATTAGACCACACACTTCAGGCGAGACTTCCTACCACAAAATCTACCACTGTCTACACAGCAGGAATATGATATGGTTCGGACAAAAGTTGGATTCCGACGTTTATTTGATAGCGAGGGACACGTTTAACTTTACGTCTGGTAAGTAGAGTTCCTAGAGATTATATAAATGCATTTGTTGACAGGAAACACCTTTTTAGTGTGGCCAGCTAAATTGTGGTAGGGTTATCTAACGCCGCCACCAGAACGATTCACAACTCATGGTGTCCAAGCAATACAGACTTCCGATGTTGTCACAAAGCAAGGTGGTGGTAGTTTTTAACCCAGAGCTGCTCCTCATCTGACCGGCAGTGTGAGCTGGGCTATGGCTAACCCAACGCTGCCCAAACTTTCCTAGTCATTAGGAAGCAGAACTTAAAATGGTTGAATAGTTTGGGTCAAAAATAGATTGCATCTGATGGACACATGTTAAATATTTATCGTATTCCTCAATGTTACACAAAAACATACTGTACAGCTATATCCTATTATTGAATGAAGAAACCTTTTTTAACATTGACCTCAACCTGACCTTCTCTCCATCTCTCCCTCAGGGCCCTGATGAAAATGGACTCGGAACTGCTGCACTCGCCGGCCGTGTGCCTGGCTGAGGAGGAGGAGGCGGACATGAGCGACTGGAACTTGCCGCTGGCCTTCATGAAGAAACGCCACTCAGAGAAGATCGAGGGCTCCAAGGCCCTAGCCCAGAGCTGGAGGATGAAGGACAGGGTAAGAGACATCCTTAGTCCTTATGGTCCCGCTGCACCATGTCCTAAGTCTTTACGCTGGTTTACTGAACTAGGGCTTTTTACTGGTGAACGGATAAAGGCCCTAACTGTGTTGCTCATATTATGCAGTTGCTCTTGGTTCTCATTATAAGGTTAATGTTGTTGAGTCTTTGAAAGTAGCTCATGAATGATGAACTGAAACCAGAGAGACTTTTTAATTGGAGACCACTGTATTGTGTTCAATATCCAGAAGCTATGGTTAGGTTCTCAATTGCTAGAGCAGGGCGCTTGTAAAGCCAGGGTAGTGGGTTCGATCCCCGGGACCACCCATACGTAAAAATGTATGCACACATGACTGTAAGTCGCTTTGGATAAAAGCGTCTGCTAAATGGCATATATATTTTTTTCTACAGCTGTGCCGATCTGAAGATCTCTTCTTTTAAACAGCTGCTTTTCCAGATTATTTTAAGTTCTCATTTAATTTATTTAACTTCATTATCACATTTGACTGAAGTAGGTCTACTTGATAATTGAATTTGACTTGCAAAGTTGCTGTTGAACTAGCATATCGTTTGCCTTCCAGAAAGGAAACGCAGGATTGTTTTTATTTTTTATCCAGTTTGCTTTATTTTTTATTTTTGTATTTATTTAATACTTTTTTAAATATCAAAACATTAAATCTACCTGCAGTGAAGCCGCTCAACATTTACATTACAATCAGTCATCAAACCATCTCCTGTCCAGAGCGACCCACAGGAGCAACCAGGGTCAAGCGCCCCGCCCTAGGGCACGTCGACAGATCTCCCACCAAGTGAAACTGGGGACCCAAACCAGCGACCTATCTGCCACCAGCCCAAGCTCCCAACCGCCACCGTCCCCCAATGCACCAACAACCAACTAAATTAACCAAAGAGAAAAACAAAGGAAAACAACAACAACAGAAAACAATCATGCAAAAATAAAAGACAACAAAAATCTAAATAGCAAGGCCAACTGTATACATTTCAGTGCATGTGTGGCACTATTTACATGTGTCCGGGTGTGTGCACATGTGTGCGTTTTGAATGCGAGTGTGTGTGTGTATGCATGTGTACACACGTACAAGCACTTGTGTGGCCTCAGCCTCAGGCATACAGTCACTGGATGTAACAGCGTTGCCCCTTAGTGTCATTCAAGCTGACTTTTTATTTATTAGTTACTTTTTTTTGGACTTTTATCTTTGACCGTCATTCTATCCCCCGCCCAGCAACTTCATCTCCAGTTCCATATCCCAACCTTCAGTTTCCCTCAGCCTTTCCCTCCTATCTCTGCTGGCCACCCTCTTCAGATTTCTAGGCGCCATATATCTTTAGAGAGCACGGTGTACATTTACATTTTTACATTTACGTCATTTAGCAGACGCTCTTATCCAGAGCGACTTACAGTTAGTGCATACGTTATTCTTTTTTATTTTCATACTGCCCCCCCGTGGGAATCGAACCCACAACCCTGGTGTTGCAAACGCCATGCTCTACCAACTGAGCTACCTCCCTGCCGGCCATTCCCTCCCCTACCCTGGACGACGCTGGGCCAATTGTGCGCCGCCCCATTGGTCTCCCGGTTGCGGCCGGCTACAGCAGAGCCTGGATTCGAACCAGGATCTCTAGTGGCACAGCTAGCCTTAGACCACTGCGCCACTCGGGAGGTGTACCAACTCAGTCTTGCGCCAGAGGACAATTTGAATCTATCTAATCGAATATAATCCGCAGATTGCGAGTTGAAGATAAATACTTTTACTAAGAGTATATTAGTAATTGACTGACCAGGTCTCTCCAGATCTCCCAACAATGCTATTTCTAGGGTCAATTTTAGATTAAAGTTATGCTTTTTCAGCAATTCCTGAACCTGAGTCCAGAAACATGCTACCTGAGGGCAATACCAGAACAAATGGTCTATTGATTCTGTATGCTCACAACAAAATGTACAGAGCTGCGATGATTGTATTGCCTAAATATTCAACATTTTGTTGGTGGCAAGAATTTTGTACAATAATTTTTGCTGAAAACCACGAAGTCTTGAATCTTGCGTCGTTTTTATATATCAACTCATACACCCCGTGCCATGGAATCGGTACATCAAAAATCTCTTCCCAGCTATTTTGCAATCTGTATGGCAGGAACATCTTGATATAACATTACTATCATCATGGTCTACTGCTTTAGGAAAGACATAATTCATTCTACAGCGAGACTTCCACATTAAACCTTGTTAAGGTTAGCCTTCGTCTATATTTTTCCCCATTTGTAGAAATTCATTTTAACTCAGCTTCAGGCTTTGGCAGTGGAATTTCAATGCTTTTCTCTAGTAAATGGTGAGAGTGGGATTTCAATGCTTCTCTCTTGTAAATGGTGACAGTGGGATTTCTGTGTTTCTGTTACACCTGCCAGGGCTTATATGAAAGGTGCTGTTAGATCCCTGCAGCACTTGCTACCTCATTGTTTCATAGATTCTGTTATGGAGAGCTATTGCTGCAATAATGCCAAGTGTCACATTGCCATACGTTATGCCGGCTGACTTAGTATCCCTATTGGCTAGACATTCAGCTAAATGAAATTTTAACACACTACTGCTAATATGACAGAATTAGGCTGCTACACTGTGCTTAAGTCTGGCTTCAGGCACTGAATTAAATTGGAACCATAAAACATTAATTCATATATTCATTCCAAAACAGGAGAGATTGCTGGGGTAAGACAAAGGGACATTCTTTCTCTAACACGGCTAGAAAATGTGCCTAAATCATTTAGGCTAGTTTATGTTCTACAAATAATACATTGTTTTGCATAAATTAATTTAATTACTGTACCGGTTTTGATTGAGTAGGGCCTACTGCAGGGTTCCTCAACTGGCGGGCCGCGTGCCGAATTTGGCCCATGGGTGATTTTATAAAACATGAGTATTTTTTTATTGTTGGACATAAGACTGTAAAAACACCAGCAAATCAGCTCCAAGTGATTAATTTTGGAAATCTGTACCAAAGTATAGAGCTATATGTGATCGTATACAAATGTAAGCAAGGTTTGAAATTGTTTTATTTAAATATATTTTGGGTTCTTATGGTCAATTTGCAGTCTACAAATTATTTGTAATTATGTTCCGGCCCCCTGACCATCCGCTCAAGAAAAAATCGCCCTGCTGCTGAATGTAGTTAATGATCCCTGGCCTACTGTCTTAACGCGAATTACTAGAGGGGGATCTACAGTGCCCTCCTGAATTATTGGCACCCTAGGTAAATATGAACAAAAAAGGCTGGGAAAAAATGTCATTGTTTTTCTGCTTGATCTTACACTCAAAATATCATATGAATCTAACCTTTGAGTAAAAATCATCACCAATAAATAATTATTTTATTCAAAAACATGGATGTCACAATTATTGGCACCCCTGCGTTTAGTACTTTGTGCACCCTCTGCCAAGATAACAGCTCTGAGTCGCCTCCTATAATGTTTGATGAGGTGGGAGAACACATAGGAAGGGATTTGAGACCATTCCTCCATACAGAAACTCTCCAGATGCTTCAGTCTTTGGTCCTCGCTTGTGGACTCTCTCTTCAGCTCACCCCACAGGTTTTCAATGGGGTTTAGGTCAGGGGACTGGGATGGCCATTGCAAAAGCTTGATTCTATGATCAGTGAACCATTTAAGTGTGGATTTGAAGGTATGCTTTGGATCGTTGTCCTGCTGGAAGATCTAACGACGACCCAGTTTTAGTCTCCTGGCAGAGGCAGACAGGTTTTGGCCTAAAACCTCCTGGTACTTGGAGTCCATGATGCCATGTATCCTAACAAGGTTCCCAGGGCCTTTGGAAGTAAAACAGCCCCACAACATCACAGATCCACCACTATACTTCACAGTGGGGATTAGGTTATTTACGCCAAACCCACCTTTGTTGTCAAAAGCTCTATTTTGGTCTCATCAGACCATAGAACCTGGTTCCAATCAAAGTTCCAATGACATTTAGCAAACTCCAGGCGCTTACATTTGTGGTTTGGTGACAGCAAAAGCTTTCTTCTGGCAACCCTGCCAAATAACTTGTTGGCATGGAGGTGGCATCTAATATGGAGTTTTGGAGACTTGGTGACCCCAAGATCTAACCAACTTCTGCAATGCTCCAACTGTGATCCTTGGAAAAATGTTTTGCCACTTGAGCCTTCCTTCTCACTGTGCGTGGAGGCACAGGCTTCTAGGTTGTCTGGGAGCCTTGCCTTGCAAGCTCCTTGCTTAAGCAACAATGTAGTTATGCATGTAGAATACACAATAACATTACTCTAATTGACTGCCTATTTCGGCGAAAAATATGATTTGACATTTGTTAGTTTAGATTTGTTTATTTATTATCACATTTGTATTTGTAAAAGTAATACATTTATAAACACAACACATTTTATATGATCAGATATTTTTATTTTTAAACACGACGCATTGAATTATGGAACAATTACACATGACACATTATTGAACAATTACATTTTATTTTGTTTTTAACTAGTAAACCTACACATTCTGAACAATTTATAGTTTTAAGCAGTGTATTTGTAGTTAACATGCTACCTAACTGATCAACAATTATAGGTACAAGCTAATAAGGTGTATATATGCTATCTTACTGAACAAGCAGCTTAACTTAAATAATGATGTGTGCGCTAGGCATCTCTCTCCAGGTTGTTTTGCTGCTTGGCTGGCTAGTTGCTCAATGGTTTCCTCCAGATATTGCCACTGTTCTTGCTCACACTGCAGTGCACACTGCCACCATCAGCTGTGTGTCTCCGCCAGTTCCAGAAAGTCTCTTCATCTTCACTGTCCAACTGCATTGTCACGGAGCTGGAACCAGCAGAAGAGGATGGAGTGGCCTTAAAGCTGTATGCTGCTGTAGTGCCAAACTGCTGCAGAACTTCACTTGGTAGTTTATGCTGGTAACAGGTATCACCAGCCAGCTTCAGTCCATACCGCACCAGGAGTATGGAGTTGAGAGTGTGCAGTGACATTATATTTCTTAACTTTGACTTGACCACACTCATTTGGCTGAACAGCCGTTCAACCTCCGCATTTGAGTGTGGCAAGGAGAGGGCAGCGAGTGCAGCTTTGCGCAGTTCTTCAAATAGATTTGACCCGGAAGAGTCCATGTAATTATTCACTTCACTCCAAAACTCTACTGTATTTTTGTTGAGTCCCACCTAAACAGATGGATGTTTCTCCATTGGGAAACCATTTGATCAATTGTTTGTGGCTGGTACCCCAGTAGCTCAGACCTTTCATCTCTGCGCAAGATGAGTTTTACACCCTCTCGAAAGTACCAAGGTATGGTGATGAGTGATTTCCATCAACATCCTTCGGACTCAATGCTTGCCTATGTTACCTGCGCAAATGTTTATAGGTTGTACAGTTGTCAAAGCTTCCAGATCTGTCTTGCTCTCCCTCAATGACTTCACGCAACTTTGTAGTTCGACGGATTGATTCAGAATGTCCGTGAATCGTTGGCTTGGCCATGTACATGGCGTGGATCAGATCGCCATGTAGCAATGCTCACTGCCTTGGTAAACCAGTGGCGTTTCAGTTTTCCCACTGGCTCAATATACGAGTTACCGCATCAATGATAGCCATCCTGGCCACACTTGTGATCTCAGGGTTTCTGCAATTTGGTGGCATACACTGCTTTGTACGCCTCGCGCCGTTTTGGGGAAATCGAAAACCAGTTGTAGGTTTCCCTGATTAAGTACTCAACACTCCTAGGGATGGTTTCTTTGGATGCTGCACTGACAGCCAATTGTAAAGAATGGCACACACAGCGGATGAGTACCAAATTGGGTAAATGCACATTCTTCCTTTAAAATCTTGTGCACCCCATTGTGCACCCCAGTCATCACAGATGCATTATCAGTGCCAATACCCTGAATAATATTTTTTTTAAAGGTTACACTTCTGAAGAAACTCAACTACCACCTTTGCTATTGATCTGGCATCGCCCCCCTCCAATTCAACCAGCCTGAGAAATGTGGACACAAGTAAAAAAATTTAGCACTGAAATACCGACTCACCACACCCAGGTATTTCGAGACACTGACATCAGTGGACTCATCCAAAAGGAGACTGAACTTCTCATCCCCCACATCTGATGTTACCCTTTTGTTGCTGCCACAGAATCTGAAAAGGCAGCTTTGCAAGCCATACCTAAATGGTTGTATGCTAGCAGCGAACAATGCTCCTCTATGGCCATTGCCATAGTAGCTTCTGCGCTTGTGCAGTTATCCACTTTCTTAACCAACTGTGGTAATGTAGACTGCGTTGCGGGGTTGTACAGTTTTGATTGATTTATATGCTTTGCTTGCCATTATTTTCTGTACTTCTGGCTGTACAATTTTGATTGAGACATGTTGATTGATGTTGTAAGTTCTGTTCAAGATCAAACATTCGTGACCAACTATATTCATTGGATTTGTCTCGTCGAACGCATACTACTGCTGCTGCAGTCAGCCAACAATGATTTGCAATTTGCTGGAATTGCTGCTGGCCTGCTGCTGCCTGTGCACGAGCTGAGCACCTGCTGCTGACGTCACTCACGATACACTTTTGCAGCCAGGCACGTGTGTTGTCACTGAGTGTGTGACAGAGAAAATCCTTTTTTGTCATTTAGAGGGAAAATGCGTGCTGTGTGTCACCTCAAAACAGGAAGTCATGAATGACCACAAGAGTTCCCAAAGACTCACATTAATTTTAAAAAGTAAAATCGGAATATACATCAATTAGATTTTGTTCATAAGAATTTCTAAGGGTGCCAATAACTGTGACATGCATGTTTTGGAATAAAATAATTATTTATTGATGATTTTTCTTTGAACAATTTTAACTTAATTAAAGGTTAGATTTATATGATATTGTAAGTGTAAGATCAAGCTTATTAATAACAATGACATTTTTTCAAAGCCTTTTTTGTTCATATTTACCTAGGGTGCCAATAATTCAGGAGGGCACTGTAGATTGGTTGATAGTGATGGGTGATAATGATAGGGGTGGTACTAGAGTCCCCATTGGCTGTGTATCTAAAGAGTTAAAGCTGTTGAGAGGATTGTCTTGTGATGGGGCTATCGAGGGTTCCATAAATGATGTGCTGCATCGTGGGAAATCAGCAGGATCATGGCCAGCTAGCTACTACACTACAGACACTGTTGGGCTTTCTCAGGATGAGAGGTGGCAGGCTGCCTAATTACAAGGCCCATTGGTCAAGGTGGGGTCCCTGTGGAGATGTCTGCTATTGAGTTGTGACCATGTCGATGTATGTGATGCGCTCATGAAGCAAAGCAGCTTGTGTGTGTGTGTGTGTGTACACCTGCTAGTATAGTGCAAGTGTGTGAATGATTCCAGGATTGCAGATAATCTGTCCTGGTCAGCCGTGTTGCTGCTCCGAATCCCACAAACTCTGCCTCTCCCAGTTGGGCTTGTCTATGGCTGCAGCTGTGTGCTATATGGCTGTGTGTTAGTGGCATTGGACCTAATGGGATAGAAATGTTATTTATGGTACCCAAAATAGTTGAGGGTTTGGCTCTGTTCTATAGATGTCAGGGAGAGGGGTGGGGCTAGAGTCCTCTAAAAGGATACATTGTAACACTGAATGACATTCAAACGCAGTGACATGGAGTAGTGCGAGACAAACCAACCCTAACCCCAAAGTACACTGTTAGTAGACCTGCCTGAACTGGGACTATAGAGTGAGCTGTTAGTGGATGAGCAGTGGCTCGCTGGAGAGAGAGGCTAGATGGCGCCCTGTACAGAACAGCCAGGCCTGCATCTACTATACCAGAGAGTAAGGCTGAACGATTTTGGAAAATAATCTAATTGCGATTTTTTGCCCCCAATATTGCGATTGCGATTTAATATGCGATTTAATTTATTTATCCTTTTTCCCCTACAAAACATAATGAATGATTTAAATATGACCAACACAATAGTATATACATTTAGTGTGAAATGTTCTTTCCCATAGGCTGGGTCTATTTGTTAGAATTAAATTCAAACATGTATGACTTGAAATAAATGACATTTTTATTGAACTGCTCATTACAGAAACATCTGTGGCTTTGCCACTGTGCATTTAAATAATTTAAACAAAGGCATGAACTTTGTAAACACTGTGTGCAAAAGGTACAGTCTTAAGAAAAAAATAATTTTAAATTGTATGTATCTTACTGCTCCCAAGTCAGTAACATTTCACACAACTGAAACAAGGAATTTGCTTTGAAAATATTTTGTAAAATCAAAGTAAATAAAGTTATAAATAAAAAATGAGAAATGCACTTTTAATTTAGACAAACTATTTTTTATAAACGATTTGAATATTATAATATAAAATAGATGAGCCTCACTTATCTCAAGTACACAACAATAACACACCACACAGACTAAAGTTCACTACGAGTATGGCACTGCCAGCCATACTTATCCAACAGTTCTGTTCTCAGTGGCTCACAGGTTTTTTGCTAAGAAAACCAGAATATTGACTTTTTCTGGCTTCAAGGATGAGCGAGTGCAAGTCACAATATTCCCTCCTGTGCTAAAAAGACGCTCTGAGGGAGCGCTTGTAGCAGGTACACAAAGATACTTGCGTGCCATGGTGCACAACTGTGGGTAGCTGATCTTGTGCACCCTCCACCAAGCCAATGGATCATCTTCTCCATCAATGGTAGGAGTCATCAGGTAATTGTTTATCTCTGCCTCTGCGACTGAGAGGCATCATATCTTTGGCTATGAACTCGGTTATTGTCCGAGTGATTTCTCCGTGCCGTTTTGAATTACGTTCATACGGAGTGACACTTTCGAACATTTCTGTCAGTGATCCCTGTCTTGAGGTATTTGGCTTGTCTCGCGCACTGATGCTCGGCATTTTGGTCATACAACTGTCATGCATTGATTTGTGGTATTTTTTTAAGTGCTGAAACAGGTTTGTAGTGTTACCCCGTGAAGTAGCAATCGGAGCACGGCATGCTCTGCACAACACCTGACGCTGCTCAGCATCTTCTTTTTTAAAACCAAAATAGTTCCACACCACCGACGTGCTGTTCCTCTTCGATATTAAAGTATCAGCTGTGTCAGTTTCTGACTGTTCCGTCGAGCAAGAGGCCATTGCGCTGGACAGCATGAAAAGTCGCGTCACGTGACCACCTCAAATCGCGCACGTTGCGATTAGAAAATCGCGTTCAGTCAAATCGCGATATTATCGCGAATGCAATTAATCGTTCAGCCCTACCAGAGAGAGAGACTCTTGTTCATATCCGTGTCCAATACATAACCACACAATACCAGAACCTTTTGAGGAGCTATGCCATGTCCAGGGCTTGGCCCTGATGTGAAGCTGTGCTCTAGACCAGGGTTTCCCAAACTCGGTCCTGGGGCCCCCTCTGGGTGCACGTTTTGCTTTTTGCCTTGGCACTACACAGCTGATTTAAATAACCAACTCCTCATCAAGCTTTGATTATTTGAATCAGCTGTGTAGTGCTAGGGCAAACACCCAGGGGGGCCCTTAGAACGGAGTTAAACATCAGTATGGCTTGTATAAAGGTACTCTCGGAAACCCAGAGCTAGGCGCAACAGCATTAGGTCTGGGATTAATGGCGGACATGCCAGAACGTTGTAATTCAAAACTAAAGTTTGCAGGCAAAACCTTTGCGGTGGTTTAAGTGAAGGTGGTTAATGCAAACTAGCCACTTGCGAAATGCACTCATTAAAAATAACCTCTGTGATCTCCATCTTGCTAACTACTATTTTGTGCCTGGGGGATGTTTATGTTATGGCAACAAGTGGATAAGACAGTGATGTAGGAAAGCAGGATGTCCCAACTCCGCCCTTTCCTCTATGCCAAACTGACGCTGTATGTGTACAGACGTTTAAGCCGGAACATTGATAGGCCTACATTGTGGGAGGCAACCCGTCTGTCTAGAGAGACTAGTACAAGAGGTCAGACGTAGACCCTGATCTGTTCTGTTTTGCTTTCTATCCTGATATTCCAGGGTCTGCTGTGGATAAAAGCATAACATTTGATACAAACATTCTTCAGATGATTGAAAACCTCCTAGAAGGGTTGCCCATTTCAAACTTGTTCAGGAAGCAAGTTATGAGATTTTTCCATGCCCAGCCCCCTCTTTACCACTCAGCCCAGAAAGCGCCAACCCTGCTCAGCTACATGGCCTGACCTCCATGGTATGTTTAGGAAAGGATATCAATCGTCAGCTGTGTTTATGAAATCAATGTGCTGTGGTTAAGCGGGTAAGCTTGACTTCAAAACACTGCCTTCATTTCCATTCCAAAGCTCTTTCTCCATGACACCGTTCATAAGAGATGTTCCACCAATGATGTGATGGTGAGGGCTGTCTGTGTATCAGATGATCCCTGACCCATGTGCACACACAGCTGTTGATTCAGCACGTGAGACCGCACCCCTGTCCTGTCTCAGTTCCTCATCAGAGGAATGTGGAGGCTGCACGCACGGTCACACACACGGCACCAGATAGAGAGAAAGGAAAATAGAAGTATCCCATCTTACAATACATTCAATCAATACTAAATCAACAACCACACCATTGTAGCAGGAGCGAAATGAGGCAGGTAAATCCAGGTTGAATAGCAGTCTGATTCAGATACTGTAGATAGTCTTTGACATGAATATGGAATGTCTTTGGGCTAAAATTCAGATCTGTATCAGAGGGACACATTAATGCAGGGATGAGCAGTTGGATGTCATTTCTACCCTGTTTCTGTAGTTCTATTGCTCACATTTTAACTACTACGTTATCTCTGTAGGAGTTTTATCGAAATCAACAGCCACTGTTGCCATCGAAGAACACAATTGGTGTGTGTGTTGGAGACCGGAGTGTGTGCGCGCGCACAAAGTGTGTTGTCTTTAAACTGGTAATTGAGTTTGGTGACTCCCCCTCTCTCATTAATAACCATGCATGGGACTCCAGGGAACTTTGAGCCATTCCTTCCCTCCCTCCGATCCAGCACCTCGGCCCATACGGATCAATGGCCAGTGACTATTCCATTTGTTAGGCCTGCTATAAATTAAGGCTATTTAAACAGAGGGGGCATCGATCTCCCCCGTGCCAGGGCAAGGCCAAGCAGACTAGTAGGCTGGACGGATGTGGAGATCGCAGCCTCAGCTTGGGCCACTCACACTTTATAGCCAACAGGACACACATTAGGGCACGGTCACACTCCTGATACACGTACATTATCACAAACCCTTGTCGTCCGTCTTAAAGTTTTCTGTGTTTTCCATCAGTCACGGATAGACAAATAATTAAGTACCCGTGCCATTCACCTGTATGATAGTGAGCATTGTGAACAAGTCCACAAAAACAGATTGAACCAAAGTCTGCTTCAGCTTTCACTCTACTCCTCCACTGTTATCCCTCACTCCCTCTATTTCTCCCCCCTCTGCGCTGCTCCGAACAGGATTTATGGGATTATTGGAAATCCATGAGGTCCAGGAGACCTGTATTAAAATGTAATTTTGTTTAGGCTTTCCTTCAGATTACTGTTAACAATCAAGGGGGGTGCACCCTCTTCAGAAGGAGACCGTTGTTATGGAGGATCAGAGCCTCTCCCCAGGGGGGCCGGACTTAGCCGCCTCCTTTTCATTCCTTTTCCCCCTCCTTTCTCCTCCTCTCCTGTTCAGTGTTCATCTTCTATATATATATATTTTTTTAAACACAGAAGAGCTTCAAAAGTGTATTAAAGCAGCACACTGTTTTGTACTGAGCTTGCTACAACATGTACACATTCTAGTCCCCATTCTCTTGATTTGTGGTTTCTGTGCTGCTTGTAGCTCTCTTGGTACTAAATTAGTTTACCCAAATCCAATAGTCATTTCATTATTTCGGTGGCTAAAAACCGCCGCAAAATAACAGCCTACCAAACCACTACAATATTAAAGAACCTGTCACAAGCCAAAAAAAATTCTCTGCACAAGGCAAGCATCTTGGTTTTGTCCCAAATGACACCCTATTTCATGTATAGTGCACTACTTTTGACCAGGGCCCATAGGGTTGCAGCCCTTATGTCTCCTCCAGTTGGAATGTATGATCTCAATAGGAAGACAATAGACTTCTCCACTGAAGTGAGAAATTAATGGGATTCAATCAATGGGAGCCAACATCTGGCTGCTGTCAAACCTAAATGCCACATTAGCCTATTATGAATCCGAAAGAAAGATTCTACCTCCCCATTCGTCTCCATTATAACACATTTTTACATGCAAATGCCTCTGTTTTATTAGTCGCTCACATATGTCGTTGGGAAACAAATAATTTCATTAGGATTGTTTATTGTGATGATAATCACCTTAGTGCCAGGCTTTGGTAATGTTGCTGGTGAATTAGTATGGTGCTGAACTTCGCCAAGTCAAGACAGAACATCTGGCATGAACGTACCTCACTTCTAAAACTGATCTACAGGTGAGGGTTTGTGTGTGCGTGACTGGGTGTGGATAGGTATTGGTAGACAGTTTTAAAATCCAGGACCTGCTTTTGGTGCTTGACTGTGAACAGTGTGGGTGCTTGTGTGGGTAGCTATCTTCACTTTGACCAAACAACACAGACACTGGAAGAATAATTGCAGTCAGAAATACTCATGACTGTTCAAGTTTATTTCAGTCAAACAGTCAGTACACTCCTTCCCAATTGCGGCCATAACTATTGTGTGAATAAATAGGAAAGAAAATATTTGCCTTAACACATTTCCTTTTTGCGAGGCATAGCTGTAAAACCTGCAGTCTGTAGACTGGTTGTGTCCAAAATGGCACCCTATTCCCTATATAGTACACTACTTTTGACCAGAGCAGAGCCTAATGGGATGCTGCCTTTGTAGATTCTCTGTTGATGCAGGGCTGAAAACTCCCCCAGGCGTGTTATCATTTCAGCTATAGTATCTTTAAAGGGCACATCCCAACCGACTTATCCCCACTGGGCTCAATGTATAGGAAAGCAGTCATGCCTACCTGAGGTTAGTGTAGTGAAAGTAAAGCCTCTATTACTGAGGGATCCTATGGGACAGAGATGGATTCACATCCACGCTCCTATGGGTTTGATTAGAGTTGGAACCACAACATTGTGGGAAATGAAATGCCATGAGGTTCTTTCCCCCTCTCAGCTTTGCTCACTCCTCAAGCTCCTCCTGCACTTGTATGAGATTCATCTGAGACCTAGCTGCATCTTTTATTGTCTCCTGTATCTTGACCTCTACTCCCCTGTCTCTGCTTTGTGTGTGTGTGTGTGTTAGGGGTGTCCCCGACCTAAAAAAAAATCTTTGTCGATTCTATGTTGCAATCTTCAGTGAAAAATTATTCTTGTGATCTAATGCTTACTTCATTGAGAATGTATGTTCAGTTGAAATTTGGTCATAGAAATTTCCGGATTATGAAATTACGTATTTCCCTGACGTTGAAACTCAGGTTACATTTTTGCTTCTGAATGAAAGTTGAAAATACGTAATTTACATTTGTTGAAAATACGTTTTTTTTGGTAATTCATTCTATGCCCAAATTTCAACTGCACATACATTCTCAATGTAGTAAGCATTCTATCACAATAATACATTTGAAATCTATTCAATATAGGAAAGAGGAACTAACTGAAGATTGCAACAGAATATGTATTATTGCTCCATTTTACATTTACATTTTCCATCTGTCCCATGCACTTATGTTCGTTTTTCAAAAGCTTTTAAATTGGCAGCGATGTTGAAAGGAGTCCAACCAACAGACCCACCTCATCAACATTCTCAGTAATGGTTACAGAAATATTTATTTCTTACTATGATTGATATGTTGTTTATCTGCCTTAGTTGAATGAACTGACTGTCAGTCGATCTCGATAAGAGCGTCTGCTGAATGACCAAAACGTCCAGAAAATACGTCTTTTCACCTTTCATTCAGAACCTGAAACCTGCCTTTTTAGATGTATTTATAAAATAAAATCTTACTGGGTGATGTCAATGTGAAATTTTGCATGGAGAATCTCCCCGGTCCCTAAACGTCTTCGCTCAGTGAAAGAAGCAGAAATGAAAGAGAACTTTACAGATGTCAACTAGATTGTTGATGCATTCATTCTATCGATTTATGACATTCTGGTGAGCAAGGCTTTATTTAGTATTCTAGAGCTTCAAGTAATAACAAGAGTAGCTGCATGTATCTAATTATAGAAAAGTTGACTAACAAATAGCCTACCTAATGTCGGTTATTATAAGCAGAAAAAAATATCTAAATGTGGCTTAACTTTTTTTTTTAATCCCACATCCAATGTCCCCCAAAAAAACTGCCGTCCCTGGACAAATTAGGAATATAATTTTTATTCATGGATACAGGGGTACTCGTGAGTGGAATATCAAAGCTGCATGTAAACAGCTTATCCTGAAATAATAACTTAATCGGGATATGAGCTATTATTCAGAATACTATGCGCATGTAAACGTGGTGACTGACGCGAGCTTGCTCATTGACTATTACTATTTGGAAAGATGCACAAAGCTACTAACACCGGAGTATGAGCTCCTCAAGTAAAAATCAGTGCAGGGTTTCAGACTGCCCTCTCTGTTCTGACCTGGAGGTTCTGGCTTCTCTCTAGCTCTGTGTGTGTGTGTGTGTGTGTGTATCCGTGTGCGCCCCAGTGGATCGATCTGTGTTCTGGTGCACATTTTTACCTGACCCTGTTCCCTCTGCTCTCCCCCTGGGCTTGTTCTCTATCAGACTAGTCTACACTACAGTAAACTGTCTGTTAGGAGCAGTAGCTACAGAACTCTGCTCACCACCATACTAAATTCAATACACTTCTGTCTGCAAAGAGTTTCTGCCTTTCTGTTTGTCAGTTACAGAGTTCAATTAACTTCCATTATTCAGGCACACATTCAATTAAATACACTTCAATAGACCTTTCTTGGAAAGTCCTTGGGAGATAAATCAATCACCAGTAAATGGGTTCTTTCTTACTGCTGTATTATTTAAGCGACATCTGGGCAAGGTTTATATAAAGAGTTGTGACTGTTTTTTAAAATATATTTAAAAATATATATTTTTATTACAGAAAGCACATGTACAGTGAATCGTGACTGATGTATCAGAGTCGTGACAGTCTACAGACTTCAAAGATAAGTTTGTGTGTGTTAAGTTCTACCCTCTCTTATAGCAGAACACTTTGATGTGTTCTCCATATTGTAGTGCTTGGCATAGTGTTGGATCCAGCCTCTGTCTTGCCGATAGACAACATGGCGCTTCACTCTCCAGATCAGGTCAGCAGCACTCAGTGGTTCAGAATTGCAAAGTCACGTCAGGCTATGCCAACTAGACAGACCTGCCAATGGATCCATCCATGCCAGAGGGCAAGGTCAAAATAGTGTGTATGGCTGTCCAAAAAAACGATCTTACCCCAGGACACCAAGTAATGAAAAATGTAAAATAAGAGCAGGAGCATTATTTCTTATATTTGAAGGACAACAAGGGGCTGACGTTTTGGCGTGTCAGACACCTGCGTGAGCTTGTGTGTGTACAAATAGAAGGCCAAACCCACCACTGGTGTGCATGGCCAAAGAGCTCCATTTTCATGTCATCTGACCATAGCACCGCCTGGAGTTTGCTAAATGGCATTGGCACTTAGATTGGCACCGGTGCTATGAAAATAGAGGTCTTTGGCCACACACCAGCGGTCGGTTTGGCCTTTGAAAAAACAATGCATATGCAGAAAATACCTGATCCCTACTGTAAAATATGGTGGTGGATAGGGATCTAACAATTCACCGATACGCATTGGTCCCCGGTTCAAATGTTTGATATGAGTGCATCTGTCCGCGGGACCCCAAACCGATCCAAATGTAGCATACATCGGTCAGAAAATCGATTCAAATTTTACGAAACGCCTTTTCATTTAAATGTTTTGCTCATATCTACCTTCCGAAAATACCTCATATTTTGTGACAACTGATGCCTCCTCTCCTTCAGTGTCGAACTAAGCATGTAACTGTGTTGACAGTCATTTTGCATGCCCAACAATCCCAGGCAATATCAGGAGCCTAGTCAAACTGAGCACTGTGCCCAGCTTCGCACGCTGACCAACGCGAGGTAGGCGGCCCTGCACGGCACCTTCAGCATTCAAATGCTAAAATGGCTTGTGTGATATTACACTTTATTAGTTGAGTGAGAACCTATGTCATTTGTTAGGTTATTGTTCTCTATGCTCTGTTAAATGTTTTACCGGTATAAAAGTAAACTACCGGAGAAAAGTTAATTAGCGGGTGATGCTGATTTCAGAACCAAAGTGGGAGAACAAAAACGTAGGCTACATTGCCCCCACCCCCCCAGATACGTATCAAATCATCTTGAAAGGGAAAGATGCACATCTGATATTATTTTGAAGGACAATCAAGAGGCTGACATTGTTGTCAGATGCCTGCCTCAGAGCCGTGTAGTGTGTGTATGAGGACTCAAGAGTCCAAGCCTCTCTATGAACGTCCTTCACCCAAATCATGTAGATAAACAGGGTCTCTCTTCTCTCTGTATATGAGAGCATGTGTTTATATGAGATATAATCCCAATGAAGTGTGTATTGAGAAGCATGTTTATTGACTTCTCTCTCCTTCTCTCTCTCTCTCTCTCCCTCCCTCTGCATGTCTCTGTCTGTCTTTCTCTCTCCCTCCCCTCCCCAGATGAAGACAGTGAGTGTAGCCCTGGTGTTGTGTCTCAACGTGGGTGTGGACCCACCTGACGTGGTCAAGACCTCACCCTGCGCCAGACTGGAGTGCTGGATCGGTAAGAAAACACAAAAACACACACTTGCATAAGCTATTCCAAACTCAACTCGCACACAAATAATGAAGAATAATAAAGTCATTATTATCTCAAACAAGACATACCTTTGGGAAACATTGGCTTTCTTCGAATGCGTCCGACCTTCTCCCCAACCTGCCTGAAAGTTGATGTTCTGGGCACTGAAAGAACCGCGTATCCAGCATAACTTGGAGATAACCCCGTCAGTGAGCATTATGCGACCTCGGCATTCGAAAGCATCATATTCGGTGCGCTTCCAGAACGATGTATTTGCGGTGTCGTTCCCATCTGTAGCTGTAGCTTTCATGCAGCAGGATATTTTTTAGAAGCACAGAGAGGATCAGTTCGGTTTCCATTGCTTGTCAGGGACGTCACCAGGACCTTAGATAAGTGGAAAGTTGGTGGACTATAATTTCCTCCTCATATTGCAGGCCTACAATCTGTGTATTCATCCACTCTTGCATTTAAGACGGGTCGTTTTCTCAGACCTGTAAATACTATGATTTGCGGGTACCCTGTCAGCCCCTGGTCTTCAGGGCTGAGCCCCGGTTATGAATCTCTGGTGACGTCCATGTTGCTTGTTCTGACCTCCTCCAAGAATAATGAATGCTGAGGGTAGCAGGTACAAGATATTTTTAAGCAGAATATTTGTATTAGCATTTGAACGATTTACAATTCGATTGCTGGACAATCAAAGCCATCCATCCAACCCATTTATTCAGATCTGGCAGTTCAAAGAGGATAGTTTCAAAGGTAATCGATTGGGCCTAGTTACTGTTCATAAGCAGTATACATTTTCTTTCATTCTCTTAAAATTGCCTAAAATCTTCTTGTGCAATGTATAGCCTACTGTACTGTTTGTTTGTCTGTCTGCCTGTCTTGGTGAGAATCTTAAGTTAATAAAATACTAAAATAGTCATCTTTAGTTTGTGTGCTTAGTATTCACCTGAGTGTCCTCGCCAGCCAGGGTTGGGCTGCACTTTACAACATTCTAATGTTATAGTCTTGTGAATCTCTCAGGCATATTTTTTGATTAAATTGGAATGATGTGAATAATGATGATGGTGAGAGCTCAGTATAGTCTAACCCTTTAATCATAGGCTATTGTTACTTTGTGTCTCTCAAATCACAATGTTTACATTTCTATAGTCATGTGACAGTAATTTTTAATTGAAATGTCCAAATGTCGGCCTTTTACCAGGTAATATTTTTTCTTGGAGTATTCTAGTTTCATAACTGATGAATATTCGGTATGCTATAGCCTAATATTCTGCGCATATGAACACATTTGTTTTAGGCCATATAAAGAACAGCTATGTATGATTTAATGAAAAGCAGCAAAGAGACATAACCTGTCTGGGGGTCCTCACCCAGAATTTATTTGGGCATCTAAAGCTAATTTTGTGCATTTTTACACAATCCAATGTGCCATCTCTATTTAGAATAAAAAAATTACGCAAAAATGCCCTCAGTCACCAAGCTAGGTAAGAGATCATTATTAAATGTTTCAGTGATTAATAAGACTGAACTATATCAAAGGTAATTCAAAAATAAATATTATTGCATCTTTAACCAATATCCTAACAAATGAACAACTCGTGAAAAAATACAAAGACTTTTATCTTTATTAAGACATCCACTATATCAAATTTCAGCCAGCCCGAGCCGCCTGCACGCCCGACCCCCTCCAGTCTAGTCAATAACTCAACTCTCTCCCAACACAATTTCCTTCCCAGTTCAATCACACTGTACATTTTTTGGAAACAAAATAAAAAAAAACCAACACCCCCCACTCAGGTTTAGGATCTTAGTGGAACATTTATTATTGGTTTCAGGTGTGTTAGGCCAAGGCCAGAGTGACCACCCACAGGACGGCAACCAGGGATTGCCTAAATAGGTATCTCCCCTTATGTGGGCATGTTTTCAATACAGACTTTCTTAGTCGTACTATATTCCATATAAGGCATCCAGACCTTATAAAAGTTGTCCAGTATACCCTTAATCTTGTAATAAATAAAATATAGTCATACATAACTTGACATTGTAGGAGGAAAACCAACCTTCCAATTAATGGCAATGCATTTCTTAGACACTATAAATGCTTGGTTACACAGAATCTGCAGGCGTGCTGAGATAAAATAAAATACTCTTTGCTAGACTTCAGCCAGCCTTCACAAGAACATACAGTGCATTCGGAAAGAATTCAGACCCCTTTACTTTTTCCACATTTTATGTTATAGCCTTATTCTAAAAGGGATTAAATAAGATGTTTTCCTCATCAATCTACACACAATACCCCATAATGACAAAGTGGAAACAGGTTTTTAGAAATGTTTGCTAATTTATTACAAATATAAAATATACCTTATTTACATATGTTTTCAGACCCTTTGCTATGAGACTTCAAATTGAGCTCAGGTGCATCCTGTTGCCATTGATCATCCTTGAGATGTTTCTACAACTTGATTGGAGTCCAGCTGTGGTAAATTCAATTGATTGGACATGATTTCGAAAGGCCCACACCTGTCTATATAAGGTCCCACAGTTGACACTGCATGTCAGAGCAAGAACTAAGCCATGATGTCAAAGGAATTGTCCGTAGAGCTCCGAGACAGGATTGTGTCGTGGCACAGATCTGGGGAAGGGTACCAAAACATTTCTGCAGCATTGAAGGTCCCCAAGAACACAGTGGCCTCCATCATTCTTAAATCAAAGAAGTTTAGAACCACTATGACTCTTCCTAGAGCTGGCCGCCTGGCCAAACTGAGCAAACGGGGGAGAAGAGCCTTGGTCAGGGAGGTGACCAAGAAACCCGATGGTCTCACTGACAGAGCCCCAGAGTACCTCTGTGGAGATGGGAGATCCTTTCAGAAGGACAACCATCTCTGCAGCACTCTACCAATCAGGCCTTTATGGTAGAGTGGCCAAACAGAAGCCAATCCTCAGTAAGAGGCACATGACCGCCCGCTTGGAGTTTTCCAAAAGGCACCTAAAGGACTCTGACCATGAGAAACAAGATTATCTGGTCTGATGAAACCATGATTGAACTCTTTGGCCTGAATGCCAAGCGTCATGTCTGGAGGAAACCTGGCACCATCGCTACGGTGAAGCATGGTGGTGGCAGCATCATGCTGTGGAGATGTTTTTCAGCGGCAGGGACTGGGAGACCAGTCAGGATCGAGGAAAAGATGAACGGAGCAAAGTACAGAGAGATCCTTGATGAAAACCTGCTCCAGAGCGCTCAGGACCTCAGACTGCAGCGAAGGTTCACCTTCCAACAGGACAACAACCCTAAGCACACAGCCAAGGCAACGCAAGAGTGGCTTCGGGACATGTTTCTGAATGTCCTTGAGTGGCCCAGCCAGAGCCCACACTTGAACCAAATCGAACATCTCTGGAGAGACCTGAAAATAGCTGTGCAGCGACGCTCCCCATCCAACCTGACAGAGCTTGGGAGGATCTGCAGAGAAGAATGGGAGAAACTCCCCAAATACAGGTGTGCCAAGCTTGTAGCATAATACCCAAGAAGACTCGAGGCTGAACTCGCTGCCAAAGGTGCTTCAAGAAAGTACTGAGTAAAGGGTCTGAATACTTATATAAATGTGATAGTTTCCTGTTTTTTTTAATACATTCCCAAAAATGTCTACAAACCTGTTTTTGCTTTGTCATTATGGGGTGTTGTGTATAGATTGATGAGGGGGGAAATACTATTTCATCCGTTCTAGAATAACGCTGTAACAATATGTGGAAAAATTCAAGGGGTCTGGATACTTTCAGAATGCGCTGTAACATATGCAAATATGTCCCCTTTTGTGTTTTACACCTCCAGCAGAGGAATGACATTTCTGAGTGCATGTAATTCAGTTTCACTGGCATATAGTACGTTCTATGGATGGTCTTAAACTGCAGTAATTTATGTCTGAGATGATGATGATGATGAATGCCCAGTCATGTTCATATCATCAATAGCTTCTACCAGGTTTTCCTCACATTTTTCTTTGATATGTTTTGTGTCATCGGAAAAAGCCTCCATCAACCCTTGATACAGTTTGGAAATCAACTTTGGAGGTTTGTCAGACTGCCTTAAAATAGCATCTGGCTTGTCCAGTGTTTGCTGAATGGAGAGAATAAAAGGTTGTATCTGCAAAAATTCAACTCGCCTAAGTCACAGACTGGTCTTCCCTGGCTGCCTGCTGAGACTCCTGTCACCATCTGATCCTCCTAAAATGAGGCATGACAAAGGATTATAATTGGCGTAGATTTATACATTGATTCTATTCTTAGATAATATTCACTACCGGTCAAAAGTTTTAGAACACCTACTCATTCAAGGGTTTTTATTTTATTTTTTACTATTTTCTACATTGTAGAATAATAGTGAAGCCATCAAAACTATGAAATAACACATATGGAATCATACTAACCAAAAAAGTATATTTTATATTTGAGATTCTTCAAATAGCCACCCTTTGCCTTGATGACAGCTTTGCACACTCTTGGCATTCTCTCAACTAGCTTCATTAGGTAGTCACCTGGAATGCATTTTACATTTTTTTAAATTTTTTGTCATTTAGCAGACGCTCTTATCCAGAGCGACTTACAGTTAGTGAATACATATCTCCCCCGTGGGAATCGAACCCACAACCCTGGCGTTGCAAACGCCATGCTCTATCAACAGAGCTACATCCCTGCCGGCCATTCCCTCCCCTACCCTGGACGACGCTGGGCCAATTGTGCGCCGCCCATGAGTCTCCCGGTCGCGGCCGGCTGCGACAGAGCCTGGATTCGAACCAGGATCTCTAGTGGCACAGTTAGCACTGCGATGCAGTGCCTTAGACCACTGCGACACTCAGGAGACATTTCAATTAACAGGTGTGCCTTCTTAAAAGTTAATTTGTGGAATTTCTGTCCTTAATGCATTTGAGCCAATCAGTTTTGTTGTGAAAAGGTAGGTATACAAAAAATAGCCCTATTTGGTAAAATACCAAGTCCATATTATGGGAAGAACAGCTCAAATAAGCAAAGAGAAACGACAGTCCATCATTACTTTAAGACGAAGGTCAGTCAATCCGGAAAATGTCAAGAACTTTGAAAGTTTCTTCAAGTGCAGTCACAAAAACAATCAAGCGCTATGATGAAACTGGCTCTCATGAGGACCACCACAGGAATGGAAGACCCAGAGTTACCTCTGCTGCAGAGGATAAGTTCATTAGAGTTACCAGCCTCAGAAATTGCAGCCCAAATAAATGCTTCACAGAGTTCAAGTCACATCTCAACGTCAACTGTTCAGAGGAGACTGCGTGAATCAGGCCTTCATGGTCGAATTGCTGCAAAGAAACCACTACTAAAGGACACCAATAATAAGAAGAGACTTGCTTGGGCCAGGAAACACGAGCAATGGACATTAGACTGGTGGAAATGTGTCCTTTGGTCTGGAGTCCAACTTGGAGATTTTTGGTTCTCACCGTGTCTTTGTGAGATGTGGTGTGGGTGAACGGATGATCTCTGCATGTGTATTTCTCACCGTAAAGCATGGAGGAGGAGGTGTTATGGTGTGGGGGTGCTTTGCTGGTGACACTGTCTATGATTTATTTAGAATTCAAAGCACACTTAACCAGCATGACTATCATAGCATTCAGCAGCGATACGCCATCCCATCTGGTTTGGGCTTAGTGGGACTATCATTTGTTTTTCAACAGGGCAATTACCCAATACACCTCCAGGCTGTGTAAGGGCTATTTGACCAAGAAGGGGAGTGATGAAGTGTTGCATCAGATGACCTGGCCTCCACAATCACCCGACCTCAACCCAATTGAGATGGTTTGGGATGAGTCGGACCGCAGAGTGAAGGAAAAGCAGCCAACAAGTGCTCAGCATATGTGGGAACTCCTTCAAGACTGTTGGAAAAGCATTCCAGGTGAAGAATGCCAAGAGTGTGCAAAGCTGTCATCAAGGCAAAGGGTGGCTAATTTGAATAATCTTTTGTTTTAACACTTTTTTTGTTACTACATGATTCCATATGTGTTATTTCAATGTAGAAAATAGTAAAAATAAAGAGAACCCCTTGAATGAGTAGGTGTTCTAAAACTTTTGACCGGTAGTGTAATGGTTCAATAATTTAGATGACCATTATTCCCAGACTGTTGCTTTAATTTTAAGATGAGGTCCTTTAGCTACTGTAGGTCTACCCATCAATTCAATATGGAACTTTGTATCATTCACTGATATTGTTAATATACTGCAAAATTCACCTGAGCTCCATAGACTGGTCTTCCCTGGTTGTCTGACCATTTTTGGACCCCTGTCACCATCTGATCCTGCTAAGACATGATGAGCATAGTGTTGTGTACTGACTGCACTAGAGGGCTGCATTCCGGCGGGTCCCGACAGAGGTCATTGCGGCGCGGTTGGCATTTTTCATGCTGCGGGCGGTCAGACAGACGACTTAGGGATGCAAATATTTTTGTTGTCCCACAGATTATTTGGAAACAGTTCTCTTTCTGCTTTGTATGCGATAGCCTATCTATTGTATTAAAATCACATACACTGCTCAAAAAAATTAAGGGAACACTTCCTGGCTGATGTTTTGGTCACTTTTGAATGCTGGCGGTGCTTTCACTCTAGTGGTAGCATGAGACGGAGTCTACAACCCACACAAGTGGCTCAGGTAGTGCAGCTCATCCAGGATGGTACATCAATGCGAGCTGTGGCAAGAAGGTTTGCTGTGTCTGTCAGCGTAGTGTCCAGAGCATGGAGGCGCTACCAGGAGACAGGCCAGCACATCAGGAGACGTGGAGGAGGCCGTAGGAGGGCAACAACCCAGCAGCAGGACTGCTACCTCCGCCTTTGTGCAAGGAGGAGCAGGAGGAGCACTGCTAGAGCCCTGCAAAATGACCTCCAGCAGGCCACAAATGTGCATGTGTCTGCTCAAACGGTCAGAAACATACTCCATGAGGGTGGTATGAGGGCCCGACGTCCACAGTTGGGGGTTGTGCTTACAGCCCAACACCGTGCAGGACGTTTGGCATTTGCCAGAGAACACCAAGATTGGCAAATTCGCCACTGGCACCCTGTGCTCTTCACATATGAAAGCAGGTTCACACTGAGCACATGTGACAGACGTGACAGAGTCTGGAGACGCCGTGGAGAACGTTCTGCTGCCTGCAACATCCTCCAGCATGACCGGTTTGGCGGTGGGTCAGTCATGGTGTGGGGTGGCATTTCTTTGGGGGGCCGCACAGCCCTCCATGTGCTCGCCAGAGGTAGCCTGACTGCCATTAGGTACCGAGATGAGATCCTCAGACCCCTTGTGAGACCATATGCTGGTGCGGTTGGCCCTGGGTTCCTCCTAATGGAAGACAATGCTAGACCTCATGTGGCTGGAGTGTGTCAGCAGTTCCTGCAAGAGGAAGGCATTGATGCTATGGACTGGCCCGCCCGTTCCCCAGACCTGAATCCAATTGAGCACATCTGGGACATCATGTCTCGCTCCATCCACTAACGCCACGTTGCACCACAGACTGTCCAGGAGTTGGCGGATGCTTTAGTCCAGGTCTGGGAGGAGATCCCTCAGGAGACCATCCGCCACCTCATCAGGAGCATGCCCAGGCGTTGTAGGGAGGTCATACAGGCGCACGTGGAGGCCACACACTACTGAGCCTCATTTTGACTTGTTTTAAGGACATTACATCAAAGTTGGATCAGCCTGTAGTGTGGTTTTCCACTTTAATTTTGAGGGTGACTCCAAATCCAGACCTCCATGGGTTGATACATTTGATTTCCATTGATAATTTTTGTGTGATTTTGTTGTCAGCACATTCAACTATGTAAAGAAAAAAGTATTTAATAAGATTATTTCATTCATTCAGATCTAGGATGTTATTTTAGTGTTCCCTTTATTTTTTTGAGCTGTGTATTTTTGTCATTATTCACACTCAGAATTCGCTGCTTCAACTTCAGTAGCTACTTCTCCTAGTTGGGCGTGAGAGTTCAACTGCGCCTAGTATGTGTGGACTCATTTGAAATCGAGTAGGCTGCCTACATGGGCAGAGAATCATGTGGCAGTTAAGAAATTAACTTAAATATGATTAGACTGTAGTTTACTAGAGTGCCTGTAAATAAATATTGATAATGGAAAGAAATGGAGGGCTCTCAACCAACGTGAGTCGAAGTGCAATCAAAACATTTAGTCATCATACTATGGTGAGCGAGCGTTGCGCCTTTTCATTTTCAATAAGTATTGATTACCCATTTATTTGTCTCTGCCTGCAAATCGTCTTCCTAAAAGGTAGGCTATATCCTATAGGCCTACGCAAAACGTAGTGTCGCTGTCATCATTCTTGCTGCTTCCAGTTCAGTAGCCATACCTGCGAGATCAGGTGCGCGTGTGGTCTCAATTAAATAGAGTAGGCTATAGCTTAAGCATGGGCTGAGAAGCACGGGGCAGTTATCTTTCCAAGGAAGAAGAAATCGGTTTGCGTAAACCTCTACTGTACAGCATGACAGTGATGTCTGTAACATTAGAGCTGTTTATAACTGTCAGTGTGAGAAGTAGGGAATTGGCTACAGAAACTGACAGATCAATAACGTTACATTGCCATACTGACTAATAAAACTCACATTGCACTGAAAAAGCGTCGGAATATCAATCTTAAATCGTTTGGCCGAGGGGTTCATCGTTTGATTCAGGTCTAGTGAGATTGAGGCAAAAAGAATAGCTAAAGTTAGCCAACTTTTGGCCAGTTCTCTCTCTAACGGTACATCAACTGGCGAAAGCTAGCAAAGTTCATTTACTTCTGAAACGGGACAAAACAAAGACTACAAAACATTTCCATACAAACAACAGCTGTTAGATAGCGATATGAGGTGGTTATTATTATTAGCTAACAGATAACTAGAGGCTAGAGCTGACCTGGCTGTGGTGGCTACTAGCTAGCGTAGCTTATTAATTTACCTCAGTCGAGAGAGGATGAAACATTACCTAATGTTACATGTCAGTTACGATACTAGCTCAGCACTGCGAATAAACACTCGTTTTGTTTTTTCTGTTAAGTTAAACAGCAGTTACCTTGCCAGCTACATCAGTCAACTAAAGAGTAGACAGTTTCTGCTCTGCTTGCGTTTACAACTCGTTTAAAGAGTGCAATACATACACACTGAACTATGCTCAACTCTCCTGTGCTGGTCCAGCCAACCTTCCAGAAGCTTTGCCTTCACACAGCCTGTCAGCCCACTCTGTGGAATCTGCGCGGTCCTAAATCCAGCCGGCTGAACACTCCAAATAGCCTACCCAACCGCTCGGCGGCGTCCTTATTGGTCCTAAAGCACACAGTTGCCGATTTTTTTTGTGTAACATTGCAATGATAAAACTGGGTGGGGGGACAAAAATGCAATTTCAGAATGTGGGGGGGACATGACCCCGTCCCCAGTGAAAGTTGCGCCCCTGAAAGACTCATAAACAGAAACGGGCAATAGGCTATTCAGTTGGCTTCAATTTCCCGCCAAATAGGCCTACAAGGAAACTCAACATATCTCGACGACATTGAGTGCGGGAGGGGGTCAGCGCGCTGTGTAATACCGTCCACAAAAAGTTTTGCTCAAAAAAAAAAAGGCACATATGCCATGTGCACAATGCCCCTTGTGGCGAAAGTACTGCAATTTAATCCATTTGAAATTACATGGTCATAAACTAGGTTTCCATCCAATTGGCTACAGATTTTCATTCAAGTACAATTTTTTGTGGATTTTAGACTATTCACATTTTCAAACCAGAGATGGGTTTCCATCAAATTGACTTGTCGGTAAAATGCTGTGCGTGATGTCGTAGTGCACATAAAAATAGCTTTTGCGGTTAAATTCCCATGTACTGTACTGTACTGTACTGAATAAAAAAGTTCAATGGTTTTCTATCACATTTTCAACTCTACTGCTGGTTACCAAAATGTTTGCGTTATGTAGCGAATTTGCCCACTCTGGTATTGGCACATGCGTTCTAGCCAACCGCTTGCAGATACAGTGCTGTTTAATAATGTTATTCTCTGCATTGTGGGCAGAATTTGATATCTCATAATCTATAATATGCGCTATGCTTTATACAATTGATTTCTTCTTGTCAATATTTCATTCTGAAGCGCTGGGGACATTTCTCCATATTATGAGTCCTCTGTAGCTCAATTGGTAGAGCATGGCGCTTGTAACGCCAGGGTAGTGGGTTCGATCCCCGGGACCACCCATACGTAAAAATGTATGCACACATGACTAAGTCGCTTTGGATAAAAGCGTCTGCTAAATGGCATATTATTATTATTATTATTATAATAATTTTTGTAAATTTTTTATATATTTTTTATAAGCAAAACAGCCCTACTAAACAAATAGCGAGGGATAGTCATACTGGTTCTCTATTGGGGTAACTATCTGAACTGAATCTCTGCTTCATTGTGATGGCAATATTGGGATATATCTGATCTCTGTATTGTGGCATATCAAATGGGCTGGAGGACACTTCATCCAGATCATGTTTGGAATACTGCAGCTGGCGATTGCATAATATACATCACTTATACACACTGTATACAGATCTGTTACTTCAGATCTACATGACTTTTACCTTCCCATCTCGTGAACAATGTAAATGCAAAGTATTATGAGTAATGTGGTCATTTTTCTGTATTCCACTACTGTTTTGTGGACAGAACGTTTCACCCTGTGTTTTGCTGTGCTGGTTGTCTCTCTGATAATGAGTGTCTGTGTTTCCTCTCCTCCAGACCCTCTGTCCATGAGTCCACAGAAAGCCCTGGAGACCATCGGGGCCAACCTGCAGAAGCAGTATGAGAACTGGCAACCTAGGGTGAGTGAGTTCACATGGCCCCGAGTTCTCCTCTCCCTCCTCCTCTTCCCCCTCCTCCTCTCTCTCCCACCTCCTACCCCTCCTCTCCCTCCTCCTACTCTACCTCAGTGACTCACCACCCACCCATACCAGTCTGTACCTGTACGTACTGTGTTGTGTATCACTGTCTCTAGACAGGCTCCTATATGGCTTGGCGCTATGCGTGCACATAAGCCAATTCACTTAAACACACCAACACATACCAACTCTCTCACACACACACACACACCGTCCCATCCCCCACCAGTGTGTCCCTGTTCTCAGTGTCGGTATGGGCTCTCTGAGCAGTGGGATCTGTTCTCTCTGAAGTGGAGTTCTGTGTGTGTTGTCTCTGAAGTGAAGTTGCCTTGGCTGTGTAAGGCCATAACTTAGTGCGCATAACTTAGTTTTGATATGTTAATACAGACACTTACAGCAAACTTAGTATGTAAAAAAGTATGTGAGCATATGTAGATATGTGGGTGTGAGGGTGCATAGTAATGCTTTCTGTGTATCTGACCTTTTGAGCGGGTGTTAGGTGTGTTCAGGATATGGTGTGTTTGTGAGTTTATTGACCGTATGTGTGTGTATGGAGTGTACTGGCACTGTGAGTGCGTGCAGTGGGAGTTCACAAATGTGTGTGTATGTGAGAGAGGCTGAGGAGGGGGGAGGGGAAGTAGGGGGGATAGAGGGGGGAGGGGAAGGAAGGAAGAAAGGAAGAAAGGAAGAAGGCACAGAGGGGAAGTGAGAAGTATAGAATGGAAAGGAGATGAGAGCGTGGGAAGGACAGGAAGGAAGGAAGGAAGAAGGAAGGAAGGAAGGAACGAAGGAGGAGGACGATTGAGCAGGGGGAAGGGTGGGAGAGGGAGAGAAAGGGTGATGAGGGGAGTGAAAAGGAGTAGAGAGGAAAGGGAAGGCAGAGGGGCAAGTGAGTAGTATAATGGAAAGAGATAGCAGAGCTGGGGAATGCGAACAGGAATGGAGAAGGCGGGCATTGAAAGAAAGAGGGGAGAGGTGAGAAAAGCCACTGAGTGTGGGTGATTAGCAACGTACGATGTGGGAGAGAGAGTAAGGAGGCGAGGTTGAACAAGGCATAGTCTTCCATTGCTTCGGAAAGGCCTGCGGACCACAGACAATCTCTTGCCTTGAACACAACATCCAGCACTTGGGGCTGTGAACTCACTTACCCTCTTACCTGTCACACACTGACTGTGGCTCGTTCATGAAAATGAAACTGGACCTAAAATGACCTTCTGTGTTTTAGATACTGTATCTTGTGCTTTTAGATGTATCATTTACATGTAGCCGTTGTAACTAATACAAAGTCTTCACTTTTGACTTTCAAAGGTGACCTGAACCACAATCTGAATACAACCCTGTTGCACGAAATCAACTCTCTGTCTTCCTTGGCGTGTTGTGAAAACTAGAGTGGCCACCTCGTTGGTACAGTTACATCCAAGCCCTGTTCAACTCTTGACAACTGTGCCTATACTGCCCATGTTCGGAGAGACTTTCTCCAGTGTTGGCAGTGCCAGCCTAACCTGTCATCATGTCTCTCTCCTCTCTCTCTCCACTCTCTCACTGACTCTCCTGGCCGCTGTCACTGAACACTGAGAGAAGACAAAATACTGACCTGGCTGCTGCCCAGAGCCCAGTCTTTCTCCTCCTTTCGCTGTCTCTCGTGCACTCTCGCTCTCTCTCTCTCGTGCACTCTCGCTCTCTTGCTCTTTCTATGTCTGTATGTCACTCTCTCTGAGGGAGTGTTACAGTTGGACCAGAGAATTGTTTGATAGACTACTGTGTTAGAGACTATACACTATATCCTTGCTAGGAGTCCATAGCATGCCCATCTATGGCACATAAGCCCAACTATAAATTATTCACATGGCCTATTTTTGTCTCTGGTTCCCTTGGGTTGTAGCTAGTGCACTGTAACAGATTTAGCCCACATATGTCCCACCAGTGTATCTATCTATCTATATAGCTATGAATTAATGGCTTAGCCTTACATTGCTAATTTAGCCCAACATATGTTAAACTACAATACTTGGTAATGGCTGTGTACTTTAGGCCTATTTGGTCCCCTTGGCTATCATGGCATAGCCTAGCGCAGCGTAGCCCAACATAGCCTGACCTAGCGCTAGCGGTTCAATATTGATAAAGAGTCTGAGTGAAAGTGACACCAGACTCCTGGCACGGCAGCGCTGCAGAGGGACAACGGGCTAATCTCATCATGATCCTTCACCCCGCCAGCCCACACTGACTGACTGATACACAGGCCCATTATGGACAATCACAGACGCTGGGAAGCCTTGGCCAAAACCATTGGCAGTTTCTATACCTATACATGTCCTACCTATGCTGTTCCTATTCTATTCTATACATTGCACAGAGATACACACACACCAGTGGAGGCTGCTGAGGGGAGGACGGCTCATAATAATGGCTGGAATGGAGCCAATGGAATGGCCGTCCTCCCCAATTAAGGTGCCACCAACCTCCTGTGACGCATACGTGACCGACAAATGTACACATGCTCACACGCCCACTCACACGTGACGCACAGTAATGATGATCTGTGGTGAACTGGGATTGACGCTTTCATCGCATCTCATCTAATCGTCAAAGTTGAAACACATCTCAAGTCCTCGTCAATATCTCGCCCACACTGACCCAGTGTTGGGCCTCTGCTCTGCCTCTGAATGGGTTCAGGGCGTGCATTGCTCTACTAGTCTCTCTCCTCTCCTCTCCTCTAGAGCTCATTGTCACCTAGCTAACACACACTTGGCTTCCTAATGGGCTCCAGTTAATATTTTATACCTCCAGGGTTTCATTTTCACTGCTATACACAAACCAACCACCGCTATTGGCAGAGAAGAGGGAAATGAAACTCCCACAGCTATGTGCACAGTAGGCGGATGCTGCTGTAGCTAGCTCGATTTGTGCTGGCGTTGCACGACTCCTATGAGATCGATAATGATGTAGCCTACATGTTGTATCAACGTCGTATTGCCCTCAGTATGTGACAGCTTGCATAACAACTGACTGCCGTTGGTTAATAACTCTTGGCTATGAAGAGTAAAACAGGACTGATCACAATCAGCGCACAGATTACATTTGCTCAATGTGCTTTTCTCTTCTCCGGTCTTCTCTTGTCTTACACGAGTTACCAGTTCTGTTATACTGTGGATGTGGATTCAACTGAGGACTCGCACCACATTCAGGTTCATGACTGTCTCATCTGTGTTGAGATACCATTCTCTCTTTCCTTTCTCTTTCTGTCCCGCTCTGCCGTCTTCCTACCCTTCCTCACCCTTCCTCTCTCTTTCATGTGTTCCTTTCTTTCTTCCATGGCACTTTCTCACTGTCACCCTCTTTCATATCATGCATTCCTCTTCCCCCTTTTCCCCCTCTCTTTCTCTGGAAACAGTTGGTTAGAATTGTTAATTTTGCGCCACATGTCATAGTGGAGATTCTCCCCTCCTCTCCACTGGTTGAGATTAAAGCTCCTGTTTTTAAAAGCAGCAGCATTGTCAGAATGCCATTACCTTTTTAACAGCCCTGTGGCAGAGAAGACTGGCTGAGCAGGACAGAGCAGGGATGGTATGACTTCTCTGCATGCCTGCATAGTCTGTCTCTTCCACTCTCTCTCACCCTCTCTCCAACTCCCTATCTGTCTCCCCCGTAACTTTTTCTCTCTTTCTTTGAGCTGCTTTCTCTGCTAGCACTGCACTGGCTGTAGATCTGAGTCCCTGCTGTCCAGTAGAACTCCCTCTACATTTATTTATCAGTGTTCTCAAACACTGCTCCTGATTGGGTTTTAGATTCTCTTTTATTACCCGGGCTGTGTCGAGATCTCAGCGGGAGAGAGAGAACAGAGCGTGAAAGGGACAAGAGGTGGTGGGTGACTGCGCTAGTGTGATCCTGACAGTAAACTCAGCAAAAAAAGAAACGTCCTCTCACTGTCAACTGCATTTATTTTCAGCAAACTTAACATGTGTAAATATTTGTATGAACATAAGTTTCAACAACTAAGACATAAACTGAACAAGTTCCACAGACATGTGACTGACAGAAATTGAATAATGTGTCCCTGAACAAAGGGGGGGTCAAAATCAAAAGTAACAGTCAGTATCTGGTGTGGCCACCAGCTGCATTAAGTACTGCAGTGCATCTCCTCCTCATGGACTGCACCCGATTTGCCAGTTCTTGCTGTGAGATGTTACCCCTCTCTTCCACCAAGGCACCTGCAAGTTTCCTGACGTTTCTGGGGGGAATGGCCCTAGCCCTCACCCTCCGATCCAACAGGTCCCAGACGTGCTCAATGGGATTGAGATCCGGGCTCTTCGCTGGCCATGGCAGAACACTGACATTCCTGTCTTGCAGGAAATCACGCACAGAACGAGCAGTATGGCTGGTGGCATTGTCATTCTGGAGGGTCATGTCAGGATGAGCCTGCAGGAAGGGTACCACATGAGGGAGGAGGATGTCTTCCCTGTAACGCACAGCGTTGAGATTGCCTGCAATGACAACAAGCTCAGTCCCATGATGCTGTGACACACCGCCCCAGACCATGACGGACCCTCCACCTCCAAATCGATCCCGCTCCAGAGTACAGGCCTCGGTGTAACGCTCATTCCTTCGATGATAAACGCGAATCCGACCATCACCACTGGTGAGACAAAACCGCGACTCGTCAGTGAAGAGCACTTTTTGCCAGTCCTGTCTGGTCCAGCGACGGTGGGTTTGTGCCCATAGGCAACGTTGTTGCCGGTGATGTCTGGTGAGGACCTGCCTTACAACAGGCCTACAAGCCCTCAGTCCAGCCTCTCAGCCTATTGAGGACAGTCTGAGCACTGATGGAGGGATTGTGCGTTCCTGGTGTAACTCGGGCAGTTGTTGTTGCCATCCTGTACCTGTCCCGCAGGTGTGATGTTCGGATGTACCGATCCTGTGCAGGTGTTACACGTGGTCTGCCACTG